GAAGATAAATATGTTCCTCCATATTTATGTCCATTATTATGCAAATATGAGCTGGTTTGTGAGCCATGAATCCCCCCTAGCCGCTTGCTGTGAGGCTAATCCTGGTTTTCCACAAAAATGGATGAAGATGTGGAATTTCCCTCACAGTAGCCCACCCTTCTCTTTTCCCACTTCCCAGTTTTGTCTCTCCTACTGGGAAGACAATTTTATTATTGGTCTTTATTTTATTGTCCTGTATTATTTATTACTATTACTCTGTATTATTTCTGCTGCTGTGACTCTCCTGAAGTGCTCTCTTGGTTGAATGAACTTCCAGGGGTGTCCTGTCATTACCAGGCTTGGCCTTCAGGGCCTCAAAATATGCTCATTTGTTTCTGTTCTGTCCAAGCTCATGGTCCAGAAATCCCAGTCATGATGGATATTCCCATGATGCTCTGTTCATGGCTATCTTTTACGTGCATCTAAATAATATATTTCTAATATCCCCAAGGGGATGCTTTTGGGGTTGGGGGTAGGGATGACATATACTAAATTTTGTATAAATGAAACTACCACATTTAATAACAATTTGATTTTCAACACAAGTGCCAGAGCATCTATTTTCCTGTTAAATTTTGCCCATCTCTCCAGCTGGTCGCTGACCCTTACCTATTTGGATCATCAACAAATGTCTTCTGTAATTCTATTGAGTCCAACAATGAAAAAGAAAAGATGCTGTGGCAGCTTGGTGATGCCTAATTTGCACGGAAGCGTGGTGATGTGTTTGTCTTCCATACTCTCTGCATTACACTCCCTCCCACCTCACTTCTGCCACCCTGACCCTAAATTATTAGCACCTTAAAGAAATGATGCTCCTTTCTCTGCATGAACTGTGGCCACTCAGCGTCCTTCTCAAATGAACAGCCACACAGTTCTAACTGCCTTGAAATCCATCCCTTGTTCTCCACACTATTACCATCACATTGTCAGATGCTTGCTGAATCCCCCAAATGTTTACTTCCTTTGTCTCAGTACTTCAAGCTTCCTGTACCTTCACTTATGTGTAATGCTATTGTGCCATAAAATCCTGGATTCAAATCCTGCACCCACATTATGAAGATTCAAACAGCTGGAGATGCAGCCTACTTGTCTATAAAATGGGAAAATAACTGACTAGAAGGATTAAATGAGATTATAAACAACACAAATTAGGAATAAATACTGGTACCCTTTCATATCCCTCCTGTTTGTAAGGTCTGGCCCTTCTATCATTTCTGCTCAGCAAAGTCCTGCCAAGGACGAGTGTAACTGTCACATGCTCCAGAGTTCCCTGACCCTCTCCGCCAGGAGGTCTCGCTTGTTTGTGCCGCTCTTGCTCTTAGGCCCCTTTATCTGAGGGGGGTATGTTCCAAGACCCCAGTGGACACCTGAAACTTCAGATAGCACCAAATCCTATATATATATATACACTATGATTTGTCCTATACATACATTCCTATAAAATTTTTAATAAATTAGACATAGTAAGAGATTAATAAGAATAATAAAAGAGCAGTATAGAGATATGCTGCAATAAATTATGTGAATATGGTCCCTCTCAAAATACCGTATTGTACTGCACTCACCACCTTCTTGTGATGATGGGAGATGATAAAATGCCTACCTGACGAGATGAAGTGAGGTGAATAATATAGGCACTGTGACGTTATCATTTGGCTATTACTGACCTTCTGAACACAGGGGAGAAGGAAAATCATCTGCTTCCCCATCATTTGTTGGCCGCATGTAAACGAAACCATAGGAGATGAAACCACATATAATGTGTCTTGTACCTACAGCTTAAGGTCCTAGAGGGTAAACACAATTTAATTTGCACTAATTTGCATATTCAAAGCGCTTTCTATATTGTTGATGCTAACTAAATATTTGTTGAAAGTCTGAGTGAATCCTCTCTCTTCTACATAGCCTGGTTCCCTGGCACCATTTTAAATAACATACTCATCTTCATTACGCTGCTATTTCTGTTCTACTGCTTAGCATTGTCACTATTCTAAAGCCCCAAATCCAATACCTCCTTCGAAATACAGTAATTCACAACATTCACAAGCTGTTAATACTTACAGACAGTTAACTTTCTTACCTCTCAAAATGTGCGCAGTCTGTGGTTGCGAAGATATATGTGGTATAGTATTACTCTTCAGTTTATATGGCCTAAGTCTTTAGCAGGCATGTCTTGGAGTAGAAAGTGTGCTTTCTAATTTCTTTTGCATCTTGCATAGTATCAGAGTTGGTTGGTACTTTGAATTTTGGATTCCTGATAGTGTTCAGAGCCCAGCCTGAGTTAGAGAACAGGAAACACCTAAGGGTAGGTTATGTCACTGCTTTAACCCTTGTCTACAGTGCCTCGCACAGCATCTTGTATGTGCAAGGTTCTAGATTAATCCAATACTTAGAAGTAAGAGGCTCATGATTTTCAGATATAGAGAAAAATATTTTACCATTCTCGTTTTAAAATTATTTTCTTTTTTTGTGTGTGTGGGGAGGGGGGCAGGTAATGGTGGCAGGGAGTTTGTGTCATTAAAATAAAAAAATGTATATATATATGCCTTCATTGAATATTAAATAGACAATTCTCCAAAGTCATGGGAAATCAGTTTAGGAGTACATTCTTGTCTTAGATTTAATAGTCTGTGTTTAGAATTTTTAGATGGTTTTGAAACAGAATTACGCTAATGAAACTCACATTTGGGTGTTGCTTAAATTTGATCTCAATATATAAAGTTAAGAACAGAAAAATCAAAATCAAGACCATTGATGTTTTGACTTGAGCATGCATCAAGAAAGAAATGTCTTTCTTGACAGTCTATCAACAAAAATTATCATCAGACACCATAATCCTTGTTAAGACCTATCATTCAAAATTCAGGTCAGAGATTACCTGACCTAACTCATAAGAAAAGTGTTCTTTATACTGTTTCTGTGAAAGGAAAGTCATGGCTATATTATGACAAGAAATGAGAAAAAAAAATCTCTACATTAAATATCCGTTATCATTCTAAAAGAAATAATTATGGTTGTAACCTAAAGTTTGGGGAATGAAAGTAAGTTTCTCAAATGCTATTGGTTTGTGTTAACACATTTTCATGTAGCAGATATACTGATCTTAGAAAACTAGAAAAATGACGTTTGGTTCTTAAACTATTTCCAACACTTCCGATGCTGCTGCAGTGGATTCATGCAAGAATATACTGAAATTGTTTCACATGACATGGTTCGCCAGTTTTGCTATTAACTTATCAAAGAGATTTGCTGTCACTGTATTCTAGTTCTCTAGTGACCTTGATTTTTCATCACAGTGTGGTAGAGTAGAAGTCAAACATAGTCTCACCAGCTCTCAGGATTCCATTATTTGAAAGTCATTTATATTTGAGAATAACAGTGTTCCTTGGGAAAAGATGACTGGAGAAAGTGTTCAAAATTTTTCCCTTACCTTTTGTTCATGTGACTTTTCAAAATATAATGGCTCAGACTTTGGTAATGTTTCTTATTTAACTGCGTATTTCAAATGCTAGGAAATATTTTGAGAGCCACATTAAAGCAAATACCACTAGTATTGAAGGTATGTATATAATGTGTTGACTTTTGAAAACGAAAATTAAAAGAAGTTTAAAATCTATTTCAGCATAATGAAATTTTCGAGGGAGCATCTAAGTATATCACATGTAATTTTTGGTTAAACATAGGAATTCCTCAAGTTAAGAAAACTTATATGAACTAAAGTAATTTCAATGCCAATATTCTGAGCATTACTTTTGAATTTAGAGAAGTTATAAATACCTAAATTAGGATTATGGAATAAGGATGTTTATTATACCACTTTATAATTTTAGGCAAATATAATAAAAAGGTGTGACACAAAGTTAAGACCTATTAATTTTGAGAAATTTGGTCATGGTCCTCATTTTCACAATTGTATCAATGGAGCAATGAAATTCCAGTAATAGAAGTTTCTCGAATTCTTCTCAAATCTATCTCAGAAAACAGAATGTCGTTTTGTTACTTTTGGAGAATTTTGTTACTTCATCTGTGGGAAACTTAATTTGAAGCATGCATCAAAATCATCACAGACCCTTCAGCTCCTGTCTCCTGCTGGGGGAGGGAGGCAACCTAGGGATTATAATTTAGGGTAAGACGTGCAGTCCCAGATAGAAGGTGCCTTTCCCAGTCACATAAATGGGGCCGGGGCTGGCCAAAGGCAGGTCTCCAAACTCCTTGGAATGCGTCCCTCACGCTCTGTGGTTGCACTGATTTCATATCCCTGAAATCCTCACCAAGTAAGCCTTTAAAAATGTGAATATACTGCCTTCACGATGTACTAACTACTCAAATTCCAGAGTTTTATTTTCTCACAAATCTAGCATCTGTAATGCTTAGTTAATAATGCAACTCCCTTCAGGGTTGAGTCCCCTCCCCATTTTCTCCAAGTGTGTAAGAAGGACAGGTAAGCCTTCCACGGCAGGAAGTAATCAATTTCTAAAGAGAGTCACTTAAGTGGTTTCAAAGTCTCAATCTGGGGCCTCTGGACAGCCCTTAAGAGGACAAGCAGGGTGGAGGGGCGGAGCCCTGTGCTGATGAACCCGCAGGGGGAGCCTGAGGGATGGGGCTCACGGTTCCAGGCCCAGCCAGGCTCTCAGGATGACTGTAATTTACATTACATTTACCAGAAATCTTCATCCCCTCATCTCGGAACTCTGCCCATTTCAGGCTGTACATACTTACGGAAAATGTTAAGTACTGTATCTCCTAATATGTTAATAGCTACAAAACTACCCCTAACAAAAAAATAAAAAAACAGGCCTCTCAGCTGTACAGACTTCAGTGAGCCTCATGTGGCAGGAACACCTCAAAGGCCCCCCTTCCCCACAAATATGGGGGGGTGAGCATGGAAAGGAGGTGACCCAGGGCTGCTTCCTGATCATGGATCTCCAGGTGATATAAAGAAGGTACAACTAAAGCAAAGGTAAAGTCAGTAAACAATATTTTACTGGAACATTTCATTACACAGAAAATCTGTCTGAAGTGTAAAGTTACTGTCTTACACAAGAAGGACAGACCCATTTCAAAGACTAATATGAATACAATAAATACGGAGTTTACATACTAATTTATACACAGAAACTGCCCCACAGCCATAAAAATTTATATTTAACAGTGCAACATATAATTTAAACATTTGATTTATTTGACAGGTTTTCCTTACTAAACACAAATAACTACCTGGTTTTCATATACATATATAATATATATTTTATGTATATAGATATTCAACAATCTGTACAGTTTCTAAACATAAAACTCCTAAAAGGCACAATTGTCTATACAACATGTACAAAAATGGCTGGAGCTGACACAAAACAATTATTGGTCAAAAGTTCATGATTGCACAAAGATTAGTCATGAATTTATGTCAGAAAAATGTGCTTTAAGGAAAGGAGGGTTTTCAAAGAAACCTTTAAGTGTTATATATAAAAAAACTCCAAAAAACAAAACAAGCCCTGCCCCACCCCACCCCCAAAACCCACTAGGTTGCTATCACAAGCCTGTCCTCGTCGTCGTCACTGCTCACGTCGCTGAAGTGGGCAGCAGCCTGCCTCTGGGGCACCGTGGGCCTGCGCGCCCGTCTGTCTGGGGACACAGTCTGCGGGCCTGGTGGCTCCGTGAAAACCTCTGCGCGCGCCGCCAGCACAGGCTCTGCTGTGCACGTTGGTTTGCCCTGCACAGGAGTGAGTTTGTGCGTGGGCTTCCCCTGATGTACCAAAGCAGCCTTCCCTGCGTCCATTTCACCAGCGCCAGCAGGCCTTGCCTGGTCTCTTGCAGGGGCGGGTGCATCTAGAACTGTTTCTGCATTTTCCTGCTGGGCTTGAGGCGACCCCTGAGGAGACACGGTCCGGCTGCCCTGATGTGAGCTGGTTACGGAAGTCAGCTTGGGCTGTGCGTCCCGAGCTCGGTTCTGGGGAGCTGGGATGTCAGGAGCTCCCGGTGCATCAACGGTCACCTGGCTGACTGAGGGAATTAGGGTCGGCAATGCTATGTTCACAATCTGGAGGCCTGGAATGTGTGCCTGAGGGGTGGGGCCGCTTTGTGAGGAAGGGTTTGCAGTCAAAACCTGCAGCCCGACTGCATTCAGAGCTAGCCCTGGTGGGTGTACTTGCGGGGCAATATTTGTATTGGCTAAGCCTAAAATATTGACGGTTTCCAGACTCAGTGATGGAAATGACTGCAAGCTGGGTGTACTCAGGTTCTGAAGGCCTGGCACACGGATTTGGCCAATGGGAATACATGGCACGACACTGCTTAACTCAGCCACTCCAGCAGAATTTTTAGTGCCAGAAACTTCTGTGATGGTATCCTCAGGAGTGCCCCCAGTCCTGTGAATTACACTGACAGCAGGAATCGTGAGCTGCATGGGCCCGGCTTGAATGGGTACGAACGTGGAGTATGTGAGGCCGGCAGGTACCACGTGGATGCCCCCGACTGGAACCATATTATAAGGTGTCCTTGACTGCTGCTGGGAGTGCAAAGGAAGGTGGCTAAAGAGGTGAGTCTGGGGAGAAGGCAGGCCTGGAGCTGGCTGGGGAGTTATTTGCTGCTTCTGTTCTGGAGTGTCAGGCTGAGGCATGACCACAGAGAGAATCCCCAGGGCTGTCTCAGGGCTGCGCTCTGCTGCAGGAGGATGCCTTACAGGTGATGTATCCTAGAAGACAAGACACAATAATGCTTTAGAACAGAGGTTTTCTTAGGCACTGAGTGAAAATTCTCTAATAAAGTCTGTTCTTCCCAATCAGGTGAGAGCATGTTTATTTGAATAAAAATTATAAGCTTGTTAAAAATTATATTTTGATGTTAAAAATAAATTCCAACTAAATATTTTATTATACCTTTAATCTCTTTATTTTCTAGTACAAATAACAGCAATATATTTTGTGTAGTACTTTGCATTTTTCAAACCAACTTCCTGGGTATCATCTCATTTATGCTAGAATTTTACCTGAGGAGCAGCCAATAATGAAATTCTTCTTCCGCTGTTGTGGGTGTTATTATTACTGCTGGTACCACCAGCTCTATCCTATTTTAGAGATTAGAAGATCTTAAGACACTGGGATACTAGTTGGCTGTGAGTATCAACTCAAGGGGGGAGATTATTCATATATGAAATAAAGAGCTGCCATTAATAAAAGGGACTGTGATTGTTCATATGCTCCTTCCTATATTTGTAAATTTGCAAAATGGATACTGAAACCATATTTCAGGTATGTGAGTGATTTGGGGGATAGAGATGCATAGAGCACAGGTGTTCAATATGAAAGTAATTAAATGTTATTAGAAAGGCTAAGTCTTGCCAATCTTCCCTTCCACCCAAGGTTATTATCTAAATATTAGCTTTTACTTGATAACATCGATATTACAGAGCTACATCAATTCATATACCAGTTTATTTAAAATATCAATATAATTTATTCATGTAATTCAATTAAGTCATATTAATTGGTATATAGTATTCATTTAGGATCTACACATTTAAAAACAAATCTTATTGCAATTGTCAGTATGTATTAGAGGTGAGAGAATTGTCAAGGAGAGAAGGCTGTATCACAGAATCAAACCATCCTCACGAGCCCGCCAGGGTCAGAGCAGGGAATCATTCACAGCATACTTAGGATGACTTTCCAGAGGCCTATGTCTGGCCCCAGGCTGGTTCTTTCACAGGAAGCTTCCCAAGATGCCATAGCAGTTTGATCATCAAGCAAAGTAAACTTCTTGATACATTTTTTTGGGTTAACTTTGCCATAGAAACTGGTCATTGTTTTGAGGATTGGGGTGAAATGTTTGGATAATTTAGTGCAAATCCATTATATCAATGCTACTGCAAAAACAATTCAAAGCAAGGGATAAATAAGTCCCAAAGTTCACATTTTCCATTGGCACATGCAAATATTTATTTCAAGATTTTTAAGAAAGCAAATCATAACAGAGTATATTTTTAGAGATCCATTTGGTTCTATCAGATTTATAATATATGAACATTAATTAAAAGACCTAACAAGGATACAAAGGGCATACATGTCCTTTGCCCTTAAATACAATGAGAAAAAAAAAAAAGCTTAAACAAGCTAACTTAGCCTTACAATGAATAATTTAAGTACATTATTTTCTTGAGCCATTAGGTTTTCCTATTTAATAGGTTAAAGAGAAGGAAAGCAACAAACCATTTACCTGTGCTAAACCAAGAAGAGCCTTTCCTGCCATAGAATTTCCCAGGACTTCTTCCGATTCAGGGTAGTCTACAGACATCGGATGGCAGGGGGGTCTGGGTGCAGCTTCAGGTGACCGCGAAGAGTCCACAGGAGTACTAGCTTCATCCTTGCCTTTCGCCACATGCTGCCGGGTCGCCCCTGGAGACGCTGCCTTCCTACTGCAGTCCGACTGCACTGTGCTCAGTACGGTCATCTTGGTGGGCAACGCTCTAGGCAGAATGTCCATTGGGTCTGGGTGTACCCCAGAAAAGCCATCGGGAATCCTGATGTCCTCATCAGCACTCACAGAGTCCTGAAGGCTGCCTCTAGGCGGAAGATGCTGTGGGCTGGCTGTGACGGAGGGAGCTGCCGACAGGACGGATTCTGCCTGGCTGTCTTCATCATCGTCTTCGTTTTCATTATCATCCTCGTCTGGGCCATCAGATTCTTCAAGATCATATCCAGATGGCTCATAACTGAATCTTTGTTTTTCATCTAACAAAAACAATCAAGATGATGTATTTAGAATTGTTTTGTAAGTGGACACATGCAACTTCCTGCATTTTTTAGAAGCTTGGCGATACTATGAGGAATATAAAGGATAAGGGCTCTACCCACAGAAAGCCTACAACTGAGCTGAGGAGAGTGCCAAGGGGCAGAAGCAGTCAGGCAGTCCAGCAGGAAATCAGAGAAGGGAGTCCCTGGTAGAGAGTCGCGTGGCCCGGACAGGCTTTGTTAAAGATAGAGAACAAGACAAATAACTTCAAATGAGTAGATAGGCAGGCGGACAGTAATATACAAAGAAAATCAGAAATAAAAGCCTCAAATATTATACCTGTAAAAACCCCCACAGAAGACTGAACTATATGAAAACTTCAGCAAAGAGCTCAATACAACTCTTTTCCTAGTTTTTTTTCCTCTATTTCCTTGTGACTCCTTTTTATAGAAACTTTAAAAAAAGTGACAGCATTTCATATTTGTAAGTGAAATAAAGTTCCTTAATATTTGAATAGTATTTAGACATATTTTCACTGTCCTCTGAATAGTAATTTCTCTAATATTTAAGCCTTCTCATATATATATTTTTAAAAATAGAGTCTAAATTTTCCCATCATTTTTTTCTGTGATGATTCAGTTCCTCTACGGAAGGGGAACATTAACCAAAAGTCATTAGTTCCAGTTTCATTAACATCATGTGAACTGTGTTTAACAAGGAATATTCAAGACGGCTCAAATAGTTTAAACATTTTCATAAGCTCATGGGGAACTGGGTTTAAAACATTATCGATTCAAAATTTTGCAAAATTAGAGGTGCTAAGTTTTAAAAATTAAATGGGGAGATATGCAAAACCCCTACCCCAAATCTTTGTCATTGAGCTACAATAAAGAAGACATGAGACCATGTTCATTTAACTGTGATATATTCTGCATTTACACATACTTTTAGAAGAGAAAAAAATGTAAATAGATAAATAAGCAACAGGTAGATTTGTAGGCTTTCTCAAATGGTCTGCATATTAATTTATTTTTACTACTCTTTCTTTATTACAAAGATAAGTTCTTAGAGAAAAGTCTCAAAGGATCAACAAACAAAACATTTGATGGAGGAAGATGAAAGAGACGGGAAACTTTATGTTGTTTATCTTGAGCATGTTATTTTTATAAATAAAACATTCAAAGATAAAACATATGCATCTAGGTTGCTTTAACAAAATGTGATTTTATGGCCCTCTGCTTGAAGGGTTCTACTTTTTTGACATAAAATAACACCAGTTTAGGGAGTCCTACCAGGTGTCTGTGATGGAGATGGAATGAATGGGTAGTTTCTGCGTAAACGCTCTGCCTCCTGCCTCTCAGATGCCTCTCCTAACCTGTTTGATGTTTGAAAATCTAAAATTAGAAAGTCATCCCCAATTTGTTTTGAATTTGCCACATTAGCACCAAATCAGATATATTTTTAGAGAAAAAACCAGAAGACACCAGATGACTAGCACAGGTTGCTGGAGAGGGAGGCTGACTGCATCAGAGGTCAACCCTGCTGCAAAGTCTAACTAGGATGAGACTTGCTTTCCTTAAAAACTATTATATTGCTTTTTTAAAACTAACTTCAAATGTATAACTTATTCCAAACTCATAATAAAGCTGAGTCGTCAGGCAGTCCAATAGCCCAGACTAAGCATCTTGTGTTATTTGGGGTACACGCAACAGGACACTATACAACAGAGTTCAGCTAAACAGCTAACAGACTGGTTAGAGCCACATGTGGGCTGGTGGGATTGTGTGCATCCTAAGGGGTCCACTCTATTGCCCCATGAGTCCCATTTGAGCACTCACAAAAAAGGGCACTAAGTATCCATTGTGGTACAGTTCTGGGAGGGGCAAGGGGTTCCATGGGATGCACCTCTCCTCTCACCACTGCGGAACAGACACTTTCTCCTGTGACAGGAGGATAAAGGCATTGCTGCCCTCAGGACACTGATGAAAACTTACTGCACTGGGCACAAGGAGTGAACAGGATAAAACACATGACAAGATAATCAGCTGAGCCCAGTCCCACAGCAGAGGGCAAGGCGGGGTAAGGTATGCTACAGGTACAGAGAGCATATATGTACAGGTGCAAGACGGAGGCTGAATCAGAACAGATGGTATCCTGCTTTCTTCTCACCATCCCCTTAATGCCAAGCTAAGAGCCTGAAAGGATAGGACATAGCAAAATACTGGTGGGAGAGGGACAGGAAAAGAATGAGAATGTGAAGAGCATCCTTCCTTGAGGCTCAGTACCAAGAGACGGCCTAAACCTGGCACTGCATGGCACTGCTCTTGGGATCCATCCACCACCCCCAACATAAGGTATGGATCTCTATGGGAATCAGAAATCTCTGGTGCTCTAAGGGGAGGCAGAGCCACCACAGATCTCTCAAACCCAGTCCAACTTCTAACTAGAAAACTCTAATCCCCACACAAAAGGCCGAATAGGAGATGCATGCCCATCACCAGGCATAAGAACTATTTATATTGGTCTCTACTGTCCTACACAAGATGTCTAGCTTTCAACAAAAATTTTGAGGCATAAAAAAATGGCAAGAAAAAGAGAAGAGAAAAAGCAGTCAGAACTATATGGAACAGATGTTAAGACTGTCAGAAAAATTTTAAAAAACTGATTAAGTATGAAAAGGGCTCTAATGGGAAAGATGGACAATACATAATATAAAATGGGAATTTCAGTTGAAAGATGGAGACAAAGAGAATGAAATGAAATGCTATAAATGAAAAACTAAATGACAATGAGAAAACTGTCAACTCAGAATTGCATGCCCAGTGATAATAATTTTCCAAGATGAGGGAGAAGAAATACAGACTTTTTTAGAAAAACAAAAACTGAGGGATTCACTGGCAGAAGACCTTCTTACTGAAACATGTTAAAGGAAGCTCTTTAGCAGAGAGAATATGATATCAGATGGAAACTATCCACACAAAAAACTGAAGAGTATCGGAAAGACAATAAATGAAGATAAAATTTCTTTTTCAACTTTTAATTGCTTGTTGTGAAAGGTAGCTAAATGTCTGTAGGAGCAACAATGTACTGTGTGCTTATAACATGTAAATGTGAAAGGTTTCACAACAGTGATAGCACAAAGTTGGAAAGGAGGAACTGTGGATATACTGTTATATTCTTTACACTACGTAAAATAATGTATTGTTTGAAGGGAGACAACTAAATTTTTAAAAAGTGCAAGTGACAAGTCAATAGAGGAGATAAAACAGAATTATTAAAAAAGCAAGTTCCAAGTATATATTGCGTACAAGAAGTCCATTTTAAATATAAAGAGACATATAAATATGAAGGTAGATATAAAGACAAATAGATTGAAAGTCTGAAAAAAGCCATACCTTACAATATTAGCTAATATATGGTCGGAAAACTATACTAATTTATCAGACAAAGTAGACTTCAGAACAAAGAAAATGAACAGAACATCACATGATGATAAACATGATCAATGAACATATAATAACCCTGAATGTGTAGCAACTAAACCGGAGCTTCAAAATAAATGAAGCTGAAACTGAAAAAAGTAATAAATGAATCCACAATTATAGTTGCAGACTTCAATATTCCCTTCTCAGTAATTGATGGAACAAGTATATAGAAAATCAGAGAGAACACAAAAGACCTGAAAAACACTTTAAAAACCACTATCACTTAGACCTAATTGACAGTTACAGAATGTGCTACCCAACGATAGCCAAATATGCTTTTCTTATATGGAAAAATATATTGGTACATGACCATTCACCAATATACACCATATTCTGACCTACTAAGCAAACCTCAACAAATTTAAGACATCTAGAAAGCAAGTAGCACTTGAAAAGATGTTCAATGTCATCAATCATTAGGGAAATGAAAATTAAAACCACAATGAAATATTACTACACACCTACTTGTATATGTTTTTTAATGTGCTGGTAAGTTTTTCTGCAGGGCTACAGAACTGGACTCTCATATATGGCTGGTGGGAATGTAGAAGGTACAGACACTTTGAAAAACAGTTTGACAGTTTCTTACAAGGCTACATGTACACAACCATATGATCCAGATTCCATCCCCAGTACCAAACCCTAAAGATATAGGAACTATGCCTGTACACAAATGCCTTAAAGCCACTTTATTCCTAACTGCCCCAAACCAGACGCAATCCAGTTATCTTTCACCTGGTCAAGGGATAACAAACTTTGGTGGAACAATGCAATGGAAATATTACTGAACAGTAAAAAGGGAGCTACTGGCTCACACAACGTGGGTGGCACTTACAAGCATTCCACCAAGTGAGAGAAGCCAGACCCAAAAAGGTACCGAGTCTCTGATTCCTTACATATGACACTCTGGAAAAGGCACAACTACGGAGAAGAAGAGAGATCAGTGGTTGCTGGGGGTCACTGCGTAGGGGGAGCAGCTGTCTGTAAATGGGCGGCACTGGGGGATCACGGAGCTGTTCTGTATGGTGACATACAATTCTATGTATTTGTCAAAACCCACAAAACTCTATACCATGAACTTAATTTTATGTATGTAAATAAAAACATAGTTAATCATGATTTGGGTGGAATTTATTTATTTTTATTTTTTATTGAGGTATCATTGATATACACTCTTATGAAGGTTTCACAAGAAAAACAATGTGGTTATTACATTCACCCTTATTATCGAGCCCCCCACACACACCCCATTGCGGTCTCTGTCCAACAGTGGAATAAGATGCCACAGTCCCTATTTGTCTTCTCTGAGCTACACTGACTTCCCCATGACCTACACACACTATATACACGAATCATGATACCCCCACAATCCCCATCTCCCTCCCTCCCCACTCACCCTCCCCTTTGGTAACCACTAGTCCCTTCTTGGAGTCTGTGAGTCTGCTGCTGTTTTGTTCCTTCAGTTTTGCTTGGTTGTTATACTCCACAAATGAGGGAAATCACTTGGTATTTGT